AATGTATGAAGTACGGAGGTCGTCAGTAAGTCAATCACTAAAAGTGATTTTGAGAAAATCGTTTTACCTCTTCAATAGTAGATTTCATTTGGTTTGCTTCTAATTGTTGTCGTTGTTGGCATTTTATATTAAATTCTAATTGCTTTTTCATATTGTTTTCTAATTTCTCTGCTTGTTCAGTTTTATTTCGTAATTCATCATTTTTTTGTTCCACACCTTCAAAAACTTTATTTGCTCTACAGATGTCTGGTAAAAATAAAAATAAACAATAAATGACATCACTTATATTGTATTAGGAAAATGTTTAAACAACAAGGTAATACGTACTTTTTTTCATGGATTCCATTTTCTTAAAATCATTTTTTACTCGTCTGCAGAGCAAAGTTGATTGTCTATTTAGTAATTTACATTTTTGATCAAAATCTTCCTTTTGAATCTAAAAAAATATACTAGTGCATTATTATTCAATGTAACTGACACGATACTGTTTCATACTGTTACCTCTAGTTTTTGAATCTTTGAATCTTTATCCAAGACCTCTATTTTATCATAGATAATAGTATATTTTTGTTTTTCGAGCAAAGCTCTTGTAGCTTTTTCTTTGTCTTCTGCTCTTTTTACATCATACAAGCTTTTAACCACTACGCCTCGATATTTAAGCTGTTTTTCTTCTTGACTATCATATTTTAAATGTAATCTATTGAACAGAACAAATAGCATATGTATTTTAATTGCATTTCTTCAAGTATAATATAAGGTTAAGATACCTTTTGATCACTTGTTCCAAGGCAAATATTTTATTTTCGTAATGTCTTTCTTTTACTGAACCTGGAATAAATAATTAATTCAACATTTAAATCGTGACAACCGAAAACAATTATAGGATATGTATGTAAGTGCCTACCGTTAAAACCATTCAAAATACTTAATATCTATGCAGTTAGTTATATACACACACTCGATGTGCTTAACTGCGAGTAGTATATTTTTAGCATTGAATAAAATTTTAAGATTATTTTAAGTTATATTAATATTATTTTGATCCCCAGCTCTACACTCCAGCAATCAGTTTATCTATAAATTGATACTTAGTGTATTTCAATATAAAATTTACATCTGCATTAAAAGTACAAATTTTGTTTTTCGTAGTGACTTCGTAATACGGTCACGAGGCTATTATTAATTACCTACTAAATATTGTTAATTGCTAAATACAAATTCAGTTTATAATTATAATTGATAATAAAGAATGTAAATTATATAGTTATAGAATTTACCGCATTTTATTGCCGGTTCCTCGTCTTCAATCTTACCATATTTCGACTGGTACTGTAAAATACAATTTGTATTACTACACTTAAATATCAACTTTTCCAGTTCAAAACAGTCATTTTTTTTAAATTTTATAAAATTAAATGGACCTAAGCGCATTTTATCAAACAATATAAAAAATATATTTACTTTATGCTACGAACATTATACTTTTAAATTGAATCTGTGAGCTTGATAAAATAAAAATATTAATAAATGACAAAATTAAAACACTCTTCCTTATACGAATTTATACTTTGGAATGAAACTAATAACATAAAATGTTATTTTTTAAGATTCTACTACTAACAAATAACTCGATTTGATAATATCTTACGAAAGGACAGTCGAGGTTACTGAATCTCTTCGACAGATCAAGATTGAGTTTCATACATTCTTCTAATTTGCGCTTAATTATTGTTATGTCTTCTCCTGTATATATAAACCTAGTTTTTTGTTTCTCCAATTGTTTCTAAAATAAATATTATTTTATATTTTATGCAATGTATATAAATTCTAAAATAAAATTCGTATATAATTTAATTACAGCGATTTCGATTAGTTTCTTATTTTCCAATTGCTCTGCCAATATTATTCCTCTAAATACGTTCATTTGTCTGTATAATCCACGTTCATTGGCTTTCAATTCATCGACTGTTATCAATAATTCATTTGCTTCGTCCTAAATAATAATGTCCCCAATTTCATTATTTTCTGATTATGTTTAATAATTAAAATGTTAAATAAAATAATCACCAATTTTTTTTGTAAGCTATCGTTTTGTTTGAGCAGACTCGAATATCGAAGTATTGACTCTGAACATTCCTTATTCATAGTTTTTATTTTTTTTTACAGAACTGTTACAAGTTTTTCGGAATCTGTTAATTTGATCTGCAAAAATATTGGTTTGTGAAATATATTATACTTAATTTATATCAAACATAATACACAATTCGTTAGACATTAGAAAATTGTTAGTTTTGTAACTCACCAATACTTTCTCAACCTTAGTCTCGAGAATTTTATTGGCCCTTGCCAATTCTGAAATTTGAATTTCTTTGCAACGTAAATCGTCCACATGGTTACTTATTTGTGTTTTCAGTGCTTTATTCTCAATCTGAAATCATACAAGTATAATAATTTTATTACTTTTTAAAATATCGAAATTACTTCAAGTTCTTCAATCTTAGCTTTTGTTTTGTCATTTTCCGCTTTCGTTCGAAGCTTATCCTTGATTTCTTGTTCTTTATCTAGTTTACATTTCGCGTTAATTTTTTCAAGCTTCCTGTTCGTGATCTAAATATTTATTTTATATTAAATTTACTTATCGTAGACATAATTTGTATGTTAATCGTGTTATATTATTACCATTAAAGCTTTATTACTCTCCGTAACTTCTTTATATTTTTTTTCCAAATCTTCGCGTTTTTCTTTCGAATTTTCATTGGCCATTAACAAATTTTTTTTATCTGTGGTTAGCTTATTGATTTCCTTATTTAGTTCCAAGACTTTTGCTTGAACATTTGGTAGTTTCATTGTATTTTCCTAAAAAATATTTAATAGTATATAAACATAATTGGTCCATATTTGTACGCGGTCTAACTAACTACAAGGGTACACGCTTGAATGCAACTTAAATTATACGTAAGAAAAACTATAGAAATACCTACAGAGCAATACGGAATATTTGTTGTTTGTTGAAGATGTGTTAACACTTAACAGTAAATATCGGTCTCTCAGAATTAGAATTAAAATGAATACCTACTTTAAATAAATGATGTAGGTCTATTTTTTCTTTTTCTTTTGTTTTTATATCTGTTCTTAATAGTGTATTTTCTTCTTCTAGTTCCGAGCACCGATATTTTATCTCAGAATATTCCCTTTTCAACTGGTCTAATTCCTGTTCTAGTATCACCGGGTCGTAATATACTTCTGGTCTGAAATAGAATTTTAAATGTCAAATTTCCGTTATACGCCAAAAAATAACACTCCACGTAAAAGTCAATAAATAAAATAATAAACAGCGTATATGCCTTTAAACAGATTGAAATTTTAAACGTATTCGGACACAATAAAGTATATATTGATTACACTACTTACGATTCTTCCCAAATAGGTATGAGTTCTGCAGGCTCAAAATCCATTGTTGGTATTTTTTTAATATGTAAGAGCTGGTAATCAGCTAATACGAATTCTTATAACTATCAAATTAAATTAAATTAAATCACTAGCTACGAGGTGCATACAGAGTATGGTTTATAGAGTGATATAGTTAATCGCAATAATAAACTACAAGTTATGTTTCAAACATAAAGCGTATCCGTGGATATCGTATTGATTTCAAAAATAATATGAATTCAAATAGAAGAAATGTATTTTTAGACACAAATAATAGGTGCTATTATTAAACCATAATATTTAGATATTTATAATTAATTCAAGTGCTAAAATGTCGTTTAAGGGACAATAGTTTAACATATAGTTCGGCCTTATGATTATCACCAAAGTTAATTTACAACAACCAACATTTTAACTGAATAAGTTAAGTAGTAATAAACCAAAATAGTTAACTAAATAAAAAAAAAAAATAAATAGTTAACAAATGCTTTTATGATTTTGTAATAATTTACCTTGAATTTCAACAAAAAAGCACCAAGTGACAATAAGTTTACATCGATTAAAGATATTTAATGTAAAATATTAACCCCTGGTTCCCTTTTAGATCTGGTTTTTTCCAATATGACAAATACCTTCGTTTCACTTTGTAAAAATGATTTACTTATTCCAGCTGACACCTACCATCCTCCTTTATGTATTAATTTTCAATTTGCTAGTGATAATCTTATTTCTAACCCTAAGGATGTATCATCATTAGATTTTAGAAAAGCTAATTACACAGAAATTATTTGTAAACTTAATAAAATTAATTGGAATGTTCTTTATGAATGTAGTAATATTGAAATAGCCATCGGTGTGTTTTATAAAATAGTTTTAGATTTAATAAACGAATATGTACCTCCCCTATTTTTATACAAGTGTCGTTACCCTCTTTCTATTCCAATTCATTATTTGTTTTCCCTGTCTTTAAATTATGGGATTTTTCATTGTAAATGGAAACTAAGTTATGATGTATTTCCTCTCTGGAAATCCGGTAACAAATCTGAGGTTAATAATTACAGACCCATATATAAACTAAGTGCTTTACCAAAATTGTTAGATAAACTTGTTGAACTAAAAATATCTGCGTTATTTAAAAACATTTTAGTAGATGAAAAACATGGCTTCCGAAAAAAGAAATCAACAGAAACCAATTTAATTGCCTTTTACTCACATTTAATTGATGTTGTAAAATTAGGTGGTCGGGTAGATGCTATTTACACTGATCTCAGAAAGGCATTTGATTCAGTAGACCATGGTGTATTGATGTTAAAACTAAAAAAACTCGGTATTAGCGATCCATTATTGTCATGGTTCTCTTCGTATTTATCTAATAGATCCTTTAGAGTCATGGTCGCTGGGGTTTTGTCCAATAATAAGGTGGCTATTTCTGGCGTACCCCAGGGTGGTCATTTGTCTCCCCTTTTATTTCTGCTATTTATAAATGATGTTGGTCTAATATTAAAGGTTTTATATTGCTCCCTTGTCCCTTCAATTTTAGAGTTCTCTTCAGTTGCCTGGAATACTAAACAAATTAATTTAATTGAAAAACTCAACAAAATACAACGACGTTTTTTGAGAATTATAGCTTCTAAGTTAGGTAAGGATGATGTAGGATTAGATGCTATTGGTAAAGAACTTGGTCTAGAACCATTAACTACTAGACGTTTATATAATGATGTATCTTTTA